ACACCAGGCTGCTGTGATCATCATCATCACCACGCTCCTCCTCATCAGCAGCAGCAGCTTTGACGGAGCTTTTTAACACCTTGAAGGATCACACTGCTGACGCCGAGGCAGGAAGAAGCGAAGATGTCGACAACCTTGTCAAAAAAAAAAAACCTCCCCAACTAGCAAGGTATCACAGTCTGAGTGCTACAGTCTTTAGCCCAGAGCCTTGTCAAGTCTCTTGGCACTACTAAAGAAACCTTACTGCTGATGATGATAGGAAAAATGGGGGAGGGAGGGAGGGGGTGAGATGGGGATGAAAAGTAAAGGTGGGTAGAGGATAGGAGCGACATACAAGGGAGAAATAGAAGAAGAAGGAGGGGGGGGGGGGGGGACCCAAATGGAGGAGTGAGGAAAAGAAAAAAAGAGAGGATATAAAGAGGTAGAAAGGTGAGGAAGAGAATGAGACGGGAGGAAACAAGGTGTTTAAATTGTTGATCACGACAGGCAGAAACACCACGTCTTCAAAGAAAAGGAAACAGACAAGAGAGAGCGACAGGGCAACAGGCGAAGCAGAGAGATGGAGGTCTGGGAGGAGAGGAAGAGCTGCAGCAAGGATTTTAATTAGCGGTAATTGGCCACCGAGGGAACTGAAACTGGGAGAGGGGAGGCAGGAGAGGGAAGAGAGGGGAGCATAACAGCCAGTTTTTGACAGAGTGATATCTCTCTCTTGCTTTGTACCTCTCTATTTCCTTCAGCACTTTTTCCATCTGAGCCTTTCCATCTCCATCTTTTTCCACCTCCAACTGTGCTACTCCCGCTTACTCCCCAAACAGAATCCTTCACTCTCTACCAATATCCCCCGAAATACAAGACAATACAAACAGACAGTATTTCAGGCAACACTAAAGCGATATTTGCAATTATGCTTAGAAGCTTCTTTTGCACACTTTACTGAGCGACAGGATCATTTAAAAATGCAGTTAATTGGGATTTTTTTTTGGGGGGGGGAGCGAAAATCTGGAAAAAGATGTGAGAAAGGTATGTTTGACTGACAGTTGACCTGCAGAGCTGTACTGTTTTGGGATGAGTTGTGCATGTTCTTCTCTATTACATATTTAATTACCACAGTACTTCAACCTATCTTAAAGCTACCATAATACATATTTTCTTATTGACAAAGGATCATTATCACCCTGATCTGATCTGATGATCCTCTTCAATTTTGGTAGAGACCAAAAATCGAGCTAAGAGAATGAATGTTGCTCCGATGGACATGAAGCTCTAGCGTAAGTGCAGTCAGGAAGACGATACTCTTGCATGTGTAAGCGCATAGTTTATTTCTCATACATCCGCCATTCACTCCTCACGCATGCTCACTCATAATGTCATTGCTCGGGGCGCTCAGTCATGATATCAGCTGGTCTCTTCTATCCAACAGCACAAAGAAACAATGACATTGTTAGCCTCATCTTCTTGTCTCTCTTAAATACGATTGTCTCTCTACAATCACTATGTTCATGCTGCTGTTACGCGCCCCTCCACCTCCCCATCTTCGCAGATTCATCGGCTTCATCAACTCATCATTCTATCAGCCTCATCAGCCACCACCACCACCAGTGTCTGGACTCCACGGGGGATTTATCTTGCTGCTGCTCAAGGCACACGCCCCTCCATTACAAATCCCCCTGTAGAGTCCAAGCGCCAAAGACTTCATCATCACACATCATCCGTTAATAATAAACAATCATCCTTTCTTCATCCGACTTGTCTGAATTTGTAATCTTCTTATTCATCACCAGAATAAGTGTGCATTGACGTCACTAAAGCGGAGTGCAGCCATCACTGGATGTAAAAATGGTTCTGCCCTCAGGTCGTCTCTCCCTAACGGTCTTTAGACCCGCCCCCGGCACCTTCCCTCCCCGGTGTGGCACGCTTGTTGTATCTCGGTGTGGTCGGCGGGGGAGCGAGGGCCGGCCGGGGAACAGGTTAGCAGGGTTACAGCTGTGTTCATCGGTACACAGGTGAGCTCTGGGGTGCTGGGTTGTCCAGACAACACTTTCAGCCCACGCTCCCCCGCCTGGCAACCAAAAAACACACATGTGGGCACACTACACATGTGCACACGAATCTTACAACACTGTCATTACACACAAACAGACTGATCTCAAACCGCTCCACTCCTAATCCAGTCCTCCTAATCACAGCGGCTGATATGCCCCAAAGTTGACAGATTGCTGATTTAAATGCCTTTAAGTTTTGGTTAATATGTGACGGGGCCTGCTTGAAATTGTCCAGCTGTCATTTGTCAACATCCCCAAATTGCATGCGACTCTTGCTAAACAGCAGCGGTAGTGTGCCAGGCACTCCGAGTGTTGCTAGGCTACGGTACTGGGATGCGGCTGGCTAAGTGGCAGCGGGATCATCGACGGACTCTCTGCATGGAGGGCTGACAGCAGGTCCTCTGGACCATTTGGCAAGTCGTGAGTCAGACGCTTTTTAAATACCACATCTGGTGGCAAGCCCATACAAATCAAGATCAAAGTGTTGGCTTTGAGATTGGACCCGTCTCTCAAACTCCCTGCCCCTCTCCTGTCGAGTTTCATTTTCATTTCTCTCTCTTTTCCACGGCGGCGCTCTGCCTTCACACACAACTCTGCCTGCTTTGTTATCCGTCCTTTGCTTTCTGTGTGTTGCTGCTGTCTGGCCTCTCTCCCCTCATGCTGAGAGGTAATCAAGCCCTGTTGTGAGTGTTTAAGCATCGGAGTGTTGAATTATTCTTGAGAGTTAATATTTTGTCAGGGAAGAAAGACTCCATACCACATACTGGGCAACGGCCATGCGCACACACAAACACACACACACAAACACACACACAGTTAGTCAGTCAGTGAGTCAAAAAAAGACAGTCATACAGATTCCACGCTGACAGATAGTTGCAGGTAAGAGACGGATAGGACCTGACAGGCGACTCACACTATAAACTGATATACTACACTTGAAGGAGTAATGCCTACCTGAGCAAAGAATGAATGTTATCTCTTTGTTTACATCACCGGGCCGGCCACGGGTGGTTTTAGTGCATATTTGTGCACGTGAGCGTGCCCCACTGGTTAACTTACAGCCGCCGCTCTGCACTGCGCTCATAAGAACGGTTACAGTCGATAACGCCGTCAGGTGAACACCGGTAGCTCTGTCATCACTGTTGCCGTTGTTTGCACTGTTAGCGCTGTTGGCGCAGTTAGCAGCGAGCCGCCGGTTCGGCCTCCGCCATGTTGAGAACCATTAAGAGGCAATGGAAATGTTACCGAATGTCGTAGCAACTTTAAAGCAACACAGACACAAGTAAACACAGTATGCTCATGCACACAAGACTCTGAGATCGAGTGTATATCAGAGTGAGAGAGATACAAAAGCACACATAAGGACAACTGTGACAAGCAGCAGAATCCTCTCACAAACATTACAGCTAACATCCACAAAGTAAACCAACAAAGGGAGAACAGACAACTCATCTCACTAATTCCCTCCTGTCTTCAGCTTTCCTCGCGTTGGTCCCCTCCCCCACGCTGCTTCGTTTTATTCTTATTTCTTTTACCACTCTCCCACTCCCTCCTTATCTTTCTCTTCTACTCCTGCTCTCCATTCTGCCTTGAGCTCGCCTTTATCATCGCTTCTCTTTACTTTTTTCTGCCTTCCTTTCACTGTGAACTTAAACTCTCCGTGGAACCATAAGCTGATATCACACAGACTCGGTGTTCTTTTAATCTCTCTCTCTCACGCACGCGTGCACACACACACACACACACACACACACACACACACACACACACACAC